AATAAAGGGAGTATGGGGAAGGAATTAAGAGACACTGAAGAGATGTAGCTGAGCAGTTTTAGATACAGGTGTGTATTGCTAGGTACTGTTTCAAAAAAAGAAACAGAAGTCATCGCCCCAAAATGCAATGAGCTATTACACCAGCCTGCAAAGCATTAGATAAACCATTCTGGATTTGCTGATAGGAATGTTGACAGGCACTGATTATATCAGAGCAGATTTCCTGCCTTACAGTTGTACCATGTGATTTAGCCCATGATCAGGTGTTCTGGAGGTGGGGAGAAACAACCCAATTAATATACACGTAGATTTTCTGTTTGCCTGCAGAGTGCCTGGCAGTTGCTTTGGATGCCCGTTCAGTGTAATTCTGCATGTACTTAATGCCCTAGTGGGATGAAAAATCTGTCATCTTGCTATCAAAAGTGTTCCACCTAGGGATAGAGGAAAAATCATATTAAGTAATGGGAGAACTTGGGCTTATTTTAAAAGCAGATTTTAGAGTGAATTCCTTTTAACTATGTACCTACATTTTATTGAGTTTAATGTTCCTGTAGAAGAAACATGCACTAGCTTTATGTGAAATTTAGCTGTTTCCCTCTGGAAACTGCAGCATATGCTCACTGGCATTTTAACAGACCGCTGAGGGACTCCAGAATACATGCTTACATCATCTGTAAAGCCATTATTATATTTTCTCCTATTTGCGAACTTGGCAACTGAGCCTGCAATCTGAATCTTAATCTGGATGTCTACTAGTTCTTCGGTCACCGAGAGGAAAATCATGTAATGACAACTTGGTTAGCCTTTCTGTTGACTGGGTAGCTGGCGCAGAATCAAGTGTTGGCTTCTGATCCTGTTGCGGTGTGCTGGGAGGTGTATGTAGCAGTGGAAAACCATGGCTGCAGTCTGATTTCTCCACAATTCCTTTCAAGGTAAACCTCAATCTAAATCTAATGCCTAGCAATGAAACAGGCCCACACAGTGCAAGCAGTTTGATATTACTGCTACAGCCTGCTCATAGCAGAGCTTGAGAATTCAAGTAGCATTGTAAAAATTCCCATTTGTAATCTCAGCAGCTGTTTTTGCAGCAAGTCTAGGATGTGTTGGTGAACGCAGGCTTCTTAAAAGCTTTTTTTCCCTGCCAAGATCTAGACCTAATTGACTTGCTGATAATGGAAATCTGCTTCTTTTTTTTTGTGGCTGGGGAATGCCTGAGAATAGCTCTAATATTTATGTTGCTCTTAATTTCTCAAAAGACTAAAAGGCTAAATACTTCTCTTGAAGAGACGAGTAAGCCAAGCTCCCAAAGGTCAAGTGCTATCAAGGTGAGAAGAGAAGGCGAAAGAAGTAGTTTGTAAGTCAGCTGCTGTGAGCTTCTGTCACTTCTTACCACACAAGCCTGATCAGCCAGACAGGTCATTTGTAAAGGAATTGCTGGGTAAATTGAGAGCAAGCTTCTACCTTTGTTAGCAGCATAATTGAGGAACTACTAGAGAGAGTCCAGAGGAGGGCAACAAAGATGATGAGGGGACTGGAGCATCTCTACTATGAGGAAAGGCTGAGGGAGCTGGGCTTGTTTAGCCTGAAGAAGAGAAGACTGAGAGGGGATCTCATCAACACATACAAATATCTTAAGGGTGGATGTCACGAGGACAGAACCAGACTCTTCACAGTGGTGCCCAGCGACAGGACAAGGGGCAATGGGCACAAATTGAGGCATAAGAGGTTTCAGTTGAACATGAGGAAGAACTTCTTTACTTTGAGGGTGACAGAGCACTGGCACAGGCTGCCCAGGGCAGTTGCGGGGTCTCCTTCTTTGGAGATACTCAAAACCCGCCTGGATGATGTCCTGTGCAACCTGCTCTAGGTGAACCTGCTTTAGCAGGGGGCTTGGACTGGATGATCTCCTGAGGTCCCTTCCAACCCGTTCCATTCTGTGTTTCTGTAATTCTGTGATAATTATCTCCCAAAGTCTAGAAGGCCTGTTGAGCTGGTAGAGTTAAGATCCTCTAACTTCCATAGACAGCAAGCCAGGGGTGGGAGCAAGGTGCCTGACACTCCTTTCTAGCCAAAACGACAGCTGCATTGGCCCTGGGTTGCATTTAATGAGAGTCTAGAGCCATTTCAAATCTGTGCCTCTGTCTCTGTCCTGCTTATATTAAGCTGATCGGTTGCAGATCTGAGAATCCAACAAGCAGGTAAGTAAGCTGACACGGCTGAGAGGCCTGGGATCTTGTCCACTTCTACAGTGATTTATTGATCCGAGCTAACTGGTAAAGGTCTCCTACCACACCCTAGTTTCAGTGGTTGAACACAAAGGGGAAAGGAGTGAGCAGTGTCTTGGGTAAAAGGGTTGAATCAAACAGGGTGAGGACATTGAATACTTGTCCTGTGACTCAGTACCTTCCCGCTAGAGAACCTCCCTTACCATGTGTTGTCATACTGCCCTGAAGCACTAGCTGGGGTCAGAGCTCTGCTGCCCTGCAGGCTGTACAAATAACTGAAAAGCCAGTCCCTAGCCCTAAGGAGCATCTGTTCTGAGAAGACAAATGCCGCATGGGAAAGAAGGTGAAAGG